TATAGAATCAGGGACATAGAAAGGGAATGGACTCACTATTCTTGGTGGGGAAAGGGGTGTGGGAGATGCAGGAAGAGACTGGACAAAAATTGTGCAACTAGGGATGAGGACAGTGGAGGGGTATGGGCAGAGGGTGGGGTGGGAACTGGGGGGAGGGGAGCTATGGGGGGGGAGAGGAACAAATGTAATAATCTGAACAATAAAGATTTACTAAAATAAAAAATCTCTTTGAGTTTTCACTGAATGTCCCAAGAGAATTCAATGTGCCTAATATATTACAACTATAGTTTGTAAAGAATCACATAAGAATAGATGAAAAAACTGTGAACTTTTAGTAACTGCATTGTCATCCAGGGGCATCTTCATCATGAAATATAATTCAGTTGAATTTTATAAAGTTGTCATTTTTTATTTTTTATTTTAACTGTTCATTCGTTTAAGGAACATGTACTGTCTATACTGCTCCACGATTGAGGCGAATGACGGCAACTGTCTGCCCGGAAGCTCACGCTGACGCAGGATCTCCAATGCATTAGGATCTGATTGGGGAGGTCAGAGAACCGGCTCCTATTCTACCCGCAAGTGGCCTCCGGAGGCGCTCAGGGTGGCATTTGGAGGACGAATGGGAGTTAGACTCAGGTAACACTAGATTGGGTCCTGCACGGGCTCTGGATCAGCGAGGGACCCTTGGACAAGTTGCTTCACTTCTCTGTGCCTCAAGGATGATGTTGTAAAGCTTCAATAGTAGACACGAGGCGCCTAGATCCATGTCTGGCACCTGAAAGCTTACTTTGCCGAGCACCTGTAACTGTTGCTGCTAATTTACAAAGAGCTACAATGTGCTAGGCTTCGTGCTTGAGGTCAGGGCAAGAAACAAGCCATGCCCTGCACCCGCCCTAGAGGTTTCCTCCCGTACCCTTCTCACTTATTGTACACTTACACAAGCCTCTATTCCGGGTATAAAACTTAGAAAACGTTAATTTCCTAAAAACGTGCATGCTTTTTGCCACCTCCACCTGGGCTGAGGCACTTCTCCGAGGGCTTGACCTCTGGGGCGGGCACCATTCCGAGGCACGGAGGCCTCTCCCACCCACGTGTGCGGACCCGGAGCGCCAGGTGGGGCACGGGAAGCCGGTCCCCGCACAGCTGCGCCCGATGAGCGCACCCACCAGCAAACCAAACTCCGATTGGTCCTCTCTCCGCCTCGCCGGCATGGTTCTACCCAATCGGCGCCGAGCTTTTTGATCCGCTCCGGCAACCGACGTACACAAGGGGCTTGGGCGTCCGTGGAGGGAGCGAGAGGTCAGGCCATGAACTTGGGGTAAGCTGGGGTGAGAAAGGGGCCCCACTTGAGAGGGCGTGAGGCTGGGTGGGCCCCGGGGCTCCCCGGAGAACCTTCCGGGCTTGCGGCGCCCTGAGGTGAATTGGGCGGGTTTCCGGGGCGCCCTTCACCGCGGCCACTGCCCTCGCTTTCCACTTCGCAACGGAGTTAAAGCCCCTTTTCCCTCCTAAGGGAGGGGAGGCGTGCAGGAGTGGGGTAAACGCGGGGGAGGTGGGGGTT